AGGATCAATGTCAAAAAGGTAGCTCAGTACAACTGATAGGCATCATACGGGCCCTCGCTTTGGTTCACAATTGAACTATAAGATTTATTAGACCTTTACTTTGGCTAGTAAGGACTAGTCGCTGGTACTGCTGCTCACAGGACGCCTAATAACCAAAGGTAGGTTAACTTTCAACATACAAAGCAACCTTTTTACTTAAGATCTTCAGAGGAGCGGGTAATGTACCTGGGATTTGAAGGGTTACTAACGCAGCGAGCTGATCTTACCAGGTTAAATACGTAAAACCATCATAACGGTATCGAGAGTTAAGAGCATTAACGTGCGTATTCAAGGTCGTGGGTTGGAGTCCCACCGACGGGACTCTCTTTTTCGGTCTTTGATGGCCGCGCATTTAACCTCACCCTCATAAATTCTATTAGACACTACAAACAAGTTAAAGGCCTTATTGACTTCTATTGAAAGCACCTCAATCTAAAATACTCTTACTGGAGCGGTGAAAATCAACATTGTGAACTTCGAGTTATAGTAGTGTTATTCTATATCACCAATAAATGTGACAACTAACATTTCTACTCGCACGTAAGATTTTCGAACCTGCCCCAGGAGGTGCACTACCCCACCAGTTTTTATTAAAGTTTAATTCTAACCAACTGTAAGTAGTTGACTTATTTTTTTAAAACCTAGGCCTAGCTCTGCTCCTTTAGTATTACATACTAATAAGGCTTTACTTAAGAGACATCAAAGTAGCTCAATCCTTTAATCTATAATCTGCATTGTCCTTTGAATAAGTAACAAATACTTTTATTTTTTAAAATCAAAATGTATAAATATATTGAATTTTATTGTTTAAATATTAATATAACTAGGGTAATAGTGCTTTTTTAATTAAAACATAATTTAAGTACGTTGGGTGCGAGATTTAAAACCTAAGCAACATGATAGGTTCCTTTGTCTGGAAAGGGGCCAGTTCTATTAGCTGGTAAGGCTATTAGCGTTCGATCTTACCTGTAAACAGATGGAAGAGACTGTAATATTCTTAAGCTATTTCAATACTCCTCTGATATCTACCAAGAACCCTCTGGAGCGAAATAAACCTACACCGCTGCTATGAATCTGTCATACTGACAAATTTTTAAAAATGGTTACTTGTTTAAACCATTCGACGGGGTATATAAAAATTTCCTACACACTTGGAGCTGAACATTGTAAACTGGTCCAGCTTGGTATGATTACTAGAGAAAACTTAATAAATTAACCAGTCAGATGAACGATCAAGAGGGGCGAGTCGACATTATTGTTATGCTTTAAGGAAAGCCACAGAGCTAATTTTTATAACTTACTAGTAGTTTAGGCCTAAGTAGTATTGAAATAAGCGCACATTGTATCATACTCGCCACTATATTAGTAGGCCCAACCTGCAGTAATTTTAGTTCTCTATTTTCTTTATGAATGTGCGCACTCATTTACTTCATCTTTGCAGCCCGTGCGTAATTTATATTACTTATAATACCCTTCATTCCTGGGTACTCTGTCACAACTAGACTGCAACCAGGGTAGATGTCAATGTTAGGGAAAGTAGCCTTCTAATTGTGACTCAGTCATAGGTTATCTAGCACCTCAATCTAATAAGAAGTTTAACGTTCAGGGCGAAAGATTTACTTTCGAAATTAGAAAAAACTCTTTGCACTCTAGTTCTTTGTCAGGTGTTATCTAAACTGTGTTGCTAGAGGCAACGTTTTCCTAGTCTGAATTAACTAGTTAGTGCTGGTGCTTTCTATAAGTAATTATAAAGAACCGCTTGAGACTCGTCCTCCTTTAGTAATTGACTACCGTAGCTTCATGAGTATGAAAGTGATAGGCTGGATAATCCTGAGCTTGAGTATTTGTGGGCTTTCCCGATGTATACTGGCAATGCCTGTAGAAACTGCCTCTTCTGAAAGATGACCAAGCACAGCCTGTTGATCCTTGGATGAAACCTTGGTGAGATCGGAATATACTTCTAGTGGCTTCCTGGAAATTTAAAACGTAAAAGTGATATCTGTGTCTTAAAAGGAATGAGACAATAACACTAGTTTCCTGTTCCGGAGTCATTAATAAGGTGTTCATATCCTTCTCTCTTAGCTGGAAACTGGGACATTTAATAGCTAGTACTTAAGATAATAGCTCAGTTTGAGAAATATATGGCAGGAGGTCTTGTTTGAATTGTAGTGTGATTGGGGTACTCTGCTTTAACAGTTGTAGTATGATTCGGTACTAGACTTTTAATGTTAGTGGTAGCTTTAGAGCTATGACTATAATATACATAGCTAGATCGTAGTTCGCACCGCCTTTCTTAACATTTAAAATAGTGCTCACTTCTCATCTATGGTACAGTACTGATAGAGTAGTTTTAATTCTTTTTTTTTGGCGTTGTGGTTTAACGGCTATAACATCCTTCTCGGATAAGCAAGTTAGAACCTAGCCCACACCTTAGGGATTGCTACTATTAAAGACCTAACTCGGGTCATTTTTCCTAATAAAACCTCTAAAAAACCTGTATAAGAGATACGAACTAGTTCGTACGTCGATGCTTTGCTTGAGCTTGCATCCATTCTTTGTACTTTGATGCGGACATGCGGAACATCTTTTGCTACGCCTTACTAAAAGATCCATTTCTGGCTACTGTGCAGGTGCTACGTATTGTGTACGGTGCTAATGTTTTATACCTCTTGAACCGCGGGATAGTTTAGTGCACTTTTTGATGGAGTGAGGGCAGCTGTTTTTCCCAACGCCGTTATCATAAAGTGGCCGAAAAAGATCGACCTCCATCCTAGGTCTGATTAAACGTAGTCTAGTGCCTACCAACTCTGGGGTGAAAACTTTCTACTTTACTCGGGGCCCTTTGGCTTTAGCTTCTACACTTAAGTCAGCTTGAAGAAATTTCTAAATCTCATTTCCAAAGAAATTATTGAAAAGCAAGTATCGTGAATATGGTTACCTTGATTAGTTTTAAAGTTATTAAGCACCTTGTTTACCTGGAAGAGTTTATAAGTTGCTCTACGCACGGTACGCAGGAACTGTCTTAATAATGGTAAAACTTTCTTTGGACAATATACCTTCGTTAGGTTTTTCCTATGACCCTTCCAGGTTATAGCTCTGCTTACAGTTTCACCTTTAACTTTTAGAGTGATATGACTATGACTAATGAAGGCCGCCGGTGAAAGATCGTTCATTAAACTAATCATATACTATCGTACTGCCTTTTTCGTTCCTTGTTTCTTGGGGCCGGCAGATCCTTGAGCTTTGTGAAGTCTAAGGCTAAGTTATGCAAAGTTCTGCATCTTAACGGCGGTGATTAGTTGCATAAGAAACTCTTTTGTATCTTGTAAAGCTAAGAGGCTTGCATAATGAGTGGTGCGTGAATAGTATTTTTGGCATTTATCTTGGTGTGGCTACAGTAGTTGAACCCTAAAAAGTAAATCCACGTGATCAAATGGAAAGTCGGTAACACTAATAATTTTTGCATAAGGGAAAATAAAACTTAAACTAGTAAAAGTAAAAACACGTATGTTGTCGTTGTTATTTCTCTTCTCCTTTCTTCCCTCTTCACTCCTTTCTGTCTACTAGAGTCTTGTAGTGTTATATATGTTGTTTCTAGTCCTGCGCTAGGGTTGCATTAGTGTCATAGTGAGCTGAGTTCAATTTGGGGGTGCTTGTATAGTTAGTTTTGACTAGCTGTGTAGTGCTCATTTTTCATATATGGTAGCTTTTCGGTGTAGTAGTACTTACTAGGTAGGGAGACGTGTAAATTAGTGCTATTTATTAGTATAAATATATATATGACCCGGCCCCCCACCTAACTTTTTAGCTTATACTGATAACGCTGAATTGTTTCCTAATAAGCTAAGAAGTGTATTACTTCCAAACAGAAGAGGCACACTTTTGAATTAAGCTTAAAAAATTTAACTTGGGGCAACTTCTCTTTAGTATAAGACTGAAGAAATTATCTTAAACGCTTCTCCTCATAGTTCTCATTTCAGAGTATATGTAAGTCAATACATTTTTTACCCGACGAGGCGAAGACGTTTTACATGCTATTTTTCGCTTTCTCGCTTGAACTTTAGTTTTTTTGATAATATTTTACTTGAACTCTATACTAAATAGGATCTTATTTAGTAGTATATGAGCACTTCTTCTTTTATGATAAAGTTTTAAATCATCACTTGAACACATTCCACTTGCGAGCCCTTATTACTGACATTACATTTTCCAAATTTTATACTTTTTTTAACTGGCCTTGTGCATATGATATATTAATTTCTGTTTTTTTTTAATTTGTGTTTGTAGCCTAAATTGTTACACTAAACCTTCAAAATAGAGGAAATCTGGTTTTTTCTTTTTTTTTTTTACGAGCATGAAATATTCTAATGACTCAGTTGCAAGTTTTTAACTCTTCATTAGCCGCTTGGCTAAAGTATTATAACTCTTCTTTTTTTTAAGCATTACTTAATAGCATTTCAATTACGTTATTCACAAACTATAATTAATACATCGTTTTAACTGCTTTTTAATAAGTATCCTTTTTTTTCTTAACTTTCTTTTTTTAAAGACTTTTACTTATTATATATATTATGTTGAGTTCACAATTATAAGAACTTATATTAACAAAACTTTTTTGTTAAAATATAGCTTGTTAATTAATATTAATTCTTATAAAGTTTGTACTCGTCATTTCAGTTTTAAAAAGTTTTAATACCTTTCATCTACATTAAAATTTTTGTAAGTTTTTCAGTAAACAGTGATTTTTATGTTTTGTAACAATTTTTTTAACATATTTAGATATTTTATCCAAACTTTACTTAAACTTATACACCTTTTAAGCGAGTTCTACTGTTTTCTGCAGTGTTACCTTCACTCACCACAACCATCTTAAAGATTACTATAACTACAACTCAATCTTATATAACAAAATTTACTAAAATTAATACAAAAAATTGTTTATTAACAAATTTCTTCTCGTCTTCACTTTCTTTTCTCGATTTATTTCGTGTCCAGAGTAAAAGAACAAACTGATCGTAGAGTTAACAAATTTCCTTCAGAAGAAAAGCTGCGAATTGCGTTCTCCTGACTTTTATAATAACAATAACAGTAAGTAAAAAATAACCATAAAACATTTTAAAAAAATAAAACTTTCTTAAGAGATCCTCTTCTATCTTTTTCGCTTCTTTTTGCCGTTCCTTCGCTTTCTGTATAAAATTAACTTATAAATCTGATAATAATATAACCTTTTCGATAAAGCTTTTAAATAAATTGATTTAATTTAAATAAAAACTAATGAGAATATAACCTTCCGGGTAGAATCACTAAATAATATAATTTAATTTATATAATCTAATAATATAACCTTTTCGATATCGTCCACAATAAGTTTAAAACGACTTTCTTGGGCAGATAAAAGATTATTAAACTCAATATTGTGCGTATCGGCCATCTGCTCTTTCTGAATTCGATGCGATTCACGCTAAAAATTAAAAAAAAATCAATAATTTGAATAAAAATAATCTTAATTAAAAAAATTTACCAACAAAACTTCCTTTTCACGATGTTGTTCCTTTAGTTCATTTATTTCTGTTTTTTTAAAAAAAATGACCACAATGAAAATAATTTTAATAAAGCGTATACAATTAAATAATTAAATTTATTTTAAAAGTCAATAAACTTTTTTATTAGGTAATTACTATATATAAAGTATACAAAAAAATTTTTTTGCAAACATATAAGATTCCCAGAAATCTGATAATTTCACAAAAATAAACGTGAAAATATAATAATAAACATAATATTAATTTAGAACAAATAAGCATAAAAAACGATAAAAATAATCATATAGTAAATTAAGATTTTAAATGCTAATCTAAAACTTAAAAAAGTAAAGTGCTGTAAAATATTAATTACTAAATTTTAAATTAATAAAAAAATACTATAAAAATTAAATTAATTAGATATTCTAATAAAATACACCAAAAGAAATTAAATCAATGAATAATAATGAATGAAATTTATTAAGAAAAATAAAAGTGGAAATAAATATGTATGAAATTTATATAATACTAAATAATATATCTATTAGAATAGAAATTTATTTATTGAAAATTTTTAAAGTAACTTAAAATTATAGTCTTAAAGTAAAATTCCATATATAATACTAGTTTTGACGTGAATCTACTATAAATAATTTTTTTTTAAAGAATATTAAGTAGAGTAAACTTATATAAACTATATAAAGCATTAAAAAAAATATTAATTAAATTAAAATTCATAAAATTAAATATTATTTGTGGCAAAAAAAATTATAAAAAAAAAACGGTCAATTATTATAATATAGTAAATATTTTTTAACAACAATAATAAAATCAATAAATTGAAAATTTTAAATCAAGAAAAGAAATGAATCAGTGCTACCTAATAATAATAATAACAAAAGATTTTAAAATATAAAAATAATGGGAAGCATTAATAATAATTATTAGACCTTCAATATTTAGCGCTTCAATTGACTCCAAATCCCGTTTAAAAGATTTTAATAGTTCTTCTATTTCAGAATTTCGCTGAGCCATCTCCTCCGCTCTAAATTTTTCTTCCATCTATAAAATATAAGAAAATTTAAGAAAAATAATAGTAAGTTTTATTAAATTAATAAAAAATCTATATATATTCACACAATAAAATTAAAAAATAATAAAAAATTTACTTTTTATAATAAAATTTTTAAATTTAACTTAAACAGTTCTTAACAGTTTTAAAAATCTAATACACTCATTATAAATGTTTTACAATAATAAATATATTAATATTAATAAATAATAATAACCAAACCTCCATTATATAATACTTTTCTTCTTCTTCATGAATTTTTTTCATAGCTTTCCGCTCAACTATCTGAATTATTATTACTAATATTATTAATAAAAATACATAATAGACTTGAAACTTTTTTCCCGCTCTCATCGCGAAGTTGTCGATGAGCTTCTTTTAGTCGCTTCAGTTCATTTTCTTTTAGTAGTAAAAATCTATAAATCAGGAGCATTAATAATCCTTTTTTAATAAATATTTTTATATATAAATAATATTTATGCCAATACATAGTTAGTTTATTATTATTTCTTTACATACTTTTTTATATATTCATAAAGATAACGTATTAGTTTATTCTCTTAACTTTATATTTATTTTTGTAAGTAAAAATTATATAAAAGTTTAATATAAATTTATTATTTTTTTTTGTATACTCTTTTTATATATATAAAAAATATTTTAACAGTTTCATGTTAGTATATTACTTTTATATATATCTTTTTATATAGAAATATTATTTTAACAGTTTCATAATAGTTTATTACTATTTTCTTTCCATTATATATTTTTCTACAGAAATATTATAACAATTTCATATTAGTTTATTGATTTTCTTTTAATATTATAAAAAAAATAATCTTTGTAAAAGTTTATTATTTTTTTCTTTATATAAATTTTATAAAAAATGATATTTATAACAATTTCATGATCATTTATTATCATTTCATCTTAAATATTTATATAAAACTTTTATATCGCAGTTTTAATGTTTATTTTATATTCTTTTACAATTAATAATAAAACAAAATAATTTTTTAAAAATAATAAAACTTTTAGCGGTTTATAAATTACTTAACGATTTTTTTTTAAATAAAAATCTTTATATATTTTCAGAAACATTACCTTTTCTTCTGATTTATATATTTATTATATATTTTTTTAATAACAATAACTTATTTACTTATTATTATTAATAATATACTTTTTAAGCATTTCAAAATTAGAATACATTAGCATATATTCAACATATTTTTAATTCGTTGTCATCTAGTACAATTTTAATAGAACTTTTTTTAATAAAAGTATATTTTTTATATATATAAAACCATAATAAATTTCTAATATTATTTTATGTAGTTCAAAGATTTTCATTAAAACTTGTGCATAAATGTATATTATTTCTTACTTTATATCTTGTCTCAAAAAATTTTCATCAAAACTTTTTTTAGCTATAAAATTTTTTTGAATATGAATTATACTTTTATTTATTAAAAAATAAATATTATCTAAAGTTATATTAAGCAGCAAAACGTAAAGCTTCTTACGCTTTTTGAGCTTCGCGAGATTTTTTTTTTTGTTGTATAGGAAAAGCTGCCTTTCTTACTTTTTGAGCTCTCTTCGTCTATAAGAAAAATTAAAAATATTATTATATTATAAAAAAATATTATTATTTAGAACACTTTTATCTTTTTCGAATTCAATAGAATTTTTGCTACATTTAAAATATAATAAAATAATATTGTAATGTTTCTACTTTTCACTATAAAAACTTTATATACTTTCAATTTTTTTTGTGTATGCAAGTTTTTATATACAATATATCTATTAATATTTTTGCATATACTAAAAAAAATATAATAACGCTTTAATTATTATAAAAAAAATTATTATTATAGTACTTTTAAAATTTCTTATTTCATCTTTTTATAGTTTAGTAGTAATTTTGCTATTTTCATATATATATAAATATAATATATTACTTTATTTTACTTTTTTATTGATAAAACATTATTTTTAACAATTATATAAAATATTTTTATAAATTTGTAAGTTTACATATAAAAAGGAAAAAAATATCAATACTTTTATTATTTTTTAATTTCATTTGATATATTTTTAGAATGTCTATACGTCTAATATTTACTTTTATTATTATTATTTTGACTCTCATGTTTTATTTATTATTTCAATTTTATTTTATTTTTTTATTTAATAATTATAAGTCTTTTTCAACTTGATCACTAAACCAACTATTAAAAACTTAGTTAATAAAGAAAACTAAACATTACTTAACTTTTATACTTTTATTATTTATATATAAAATAAATATTACATAATAATTTTCTTTATATTTTTATATATTAAAAAAAATTATTAAATTTAAGTTTTCTTTTTTTAATATTTTATAAATATTTAATAAATTTTTAATATTAAAAAAAATAAGTTTCAAAATGAAAATAAATTACAAAACTTTGTTATAAGTAAAACTAGATATTTCTTTATAAACTCATTGTTTACTACATAAAATTTTACCAATATCGTATTATAAGACCAAAAATATTTATATATAAATTTAAATTAATAATAAAATAATTAAATATTTATGTATTTCATTAAAATAAAAGTAAACAATTTATATATAATTAATAATTATTTAAATAATAAAATATAATGACATATTTTACTAATTACTTTATTATTATTTTTTTAAAATAAAGTTATATTTAAGTTTTTTTTTAATACAGAAATATTAATTTTTTAAAAGTTTCATATAATAAATTATCATTTAATTTAATTTTTTCTTTCAGTAGTAAAAATTTTTAAATCATTATGTCATTATAAAATCAAAGTTTACTATTTTTTTTACTTTTTACAAATATTAAAAGTTTGCTTATTAGTAAAATATAACTAAATGCAGTCAAGTTTTCTAAAGCAAAACTAAAAAAACTTTTTGTATATATATTTTAATATTTTATTTTTAACTTTAAAAAAGCAAATTGGACCAAAATTTACTAAAATTGCATACAAAGTGCTAAAAAGAACCAAATTAAGAACAATTTTAAGTGTTTATTAATTAAAAATATATTTTTTAGCCTTTAATAAAAATTAAAGTTAAACTGATCCGAATAAAATAAATAGAATTAGAAAATTTTTTAATTTTTGTATAAAGAATATTATCACAAAAAGCCCAGGTGTTATTAATTTATTAATATGAAAAAAAAAATTAAATTTCAAGTAAAACAATTATATAATATCGCAAAAAAGGGAAAAATAAAGCTAAATAGTTTGGTAGATACATTAAATTTTATGTAAATATAGAGTCATAATGTACTAATATAGCGGAGAAAAAACTAAAATCTTGCATTTTTAACACATTTAGAATTATCTATTAACTTAAATAGAAGCACGTTAGAGAAAAATAATCCAAAATATACTAAAATAGCATTAATAATTATAAAATGGCCCATTTTTATCGCTTATGTTTAAATCACATTCTAATTTAATTAAAATATACCAAAATAAAATAAAAGGAGCCAGAATATTTCTTAAGTAAAAAAATTGCATTGTTAAATTAACGTTACATTTAAATTAAATTAAACAAAAAAAACACTAAAATATTATTAACTGCTTTAAAAAATATCAATTTTAATGCTTTTTAATATTTAAATTACAAAAATGAAAATGTGTTTAGAGTAATATTTTCGATGAAATTCACATAAAGTGATTCCAAAATACACTAAAATAGCATAATATTAGCTTAAAACATACCAAAGTAGTTTTCAACATTAACTAAAATATAATTAAACTGATGCAATATATATTAAATAGCATATAGCTAAGAAATACCAGTTTCCTATTTTATAACAAAATATATAAATTTTAAAGTTAAATATTAAAAAATTATATTTATGTAAACCTATCAAAAATATACTAATAATAAAATTGAAAGAGCTGAAAAGATACCAACTGAATAAATTTTAAACATTATAAGTTATAGTTTTAGAGATACATATTGATTATAACAGAAGTAAAGTAATCCAAAATATACTGAAAACAGAGTAAGAGCTAAAATATATCTAATTATAATTAAAACGTAACGTAACTTCGAAATAACTACCTTAACAAAAAGCATATAATTAGTAAAATAAAATAAAATATAAAAATATTATAAAAAAGAAAAAATAAAAATTTTATGTAAAAATAATAAATAAAATTATTTTTTTAATTCCGATAAAAATATTTATTCAACAATTTTTTTTTAAAATGAGAGCAAAAAGCACTACACTTATATAAGCTAAAAGCACCCAATTTATAATCAAAATTGGTACAATATTACTCTTTTGTAATATCGAAAACTTTCGGTTCATTATTTTGTAGAACGAATTATATTTAAAATTAATCAGTAATTCGACCCGAATAAACCATACTTTTACTAAAAAAAAAAAAAAAAGCTAAAATCCTCCAATTTAATAATAATAAGTTGACTAAAGTTATTTCACAAAAAATATTGACTAATTTTTTTTTGACCTCAGTGATTCGCTTCTGGCAAAGAGCGTCCATCATTTCCATTTCCTTCTGATGGCGTATCTCTTGCCTTTTGCTTTCCAACAATTGCATTTGCACCAATTGAAACGTTTTAAGTTCGTGCTCTTCTCTTAAAAACTTTTTCTTTCCAAATAATAATAATTATATTAATAATTAGAACAAAATAACATTTATAATAAAATAAAAATACTAATATAAATAGTTATAATAATTTTAATGGTAATACTTCGTTAACGGCTAGTTCGCTTATATTGTCGAGCCTCAAACGGCCAAACGAGTTTGCAAGTGTATCTTTTAAGCTTAAATATTCCTTTTAAATAAATAAAAGTGTAAAAAAAAACGTTAATATCCATAAAAAATTAAAGTATAATAATGATTCAATACATAATAAAATTTTTGTATAATAATAATAGTATATTTATAGAAAATTCTATTAATATTAATAATAAGTCGAGCAACTTAAAATTAGAAAGAAAATGAAAAAAGCTAAATATATTTATTATTATAAAAGTTAAAAACTTAAATTATATAATAAATATTATTTTGATAATAAAAATTTGCAAATTTGTATAAATGATAATAAATAATATATAAAAACTATAAACATATATAATAACATAATTAAGAAAACTATTACATATAATAAAAGTAATATATAATTAATAAACACTAATAAATATCATTAGAAAAAATATAAAGTTATATAAAAGTAAAAATATTAGAACCTATATAACAATATATAATCATGAAAACGCTGAAAGTTTATATGATAATAATGTATATAAACATATATATATTGATATAAAAATATTATATAAGTTATATAAAAGTAAAAAAATATATATATAATAAAAAAAAAGTAAAAAAAATAAAAATATATATATAAATAAAAGTTTACGTACTCTATAAATATATATACAATTAAATATAATTATAATAAAAAAGTTCAAAAACTAAATTAATAAATAGTTATGTATAATAAAAGTAAAAAATATATATTATAACAATAATACAAATACTAAAGATATAAAATATATATAATATTAGTGGCAATTAAATAAAAAAATATATTTACACATAAAATAAAAAAAGGAAAAGAAAATAATTATAATAATAAATTTATTAAAACTAAAATAATAATTAATAAAAAATTCTAATTTATAAAATATATAATTATATAAAATTTATAAAGAAAAGGAAAAAATATATTATTTAATGAAAAGTGTAAGTAAAAAAATATATAAAAAGTAAAATTAAAAATAACTGTCAATATACTAATAAGTAATATATATAATAATTATAATAAAAACTGTAAATATATAAAAGGAAAAGTAATGAAAACTCCAAAAATATAGTAATAATAATAACAATAATAAAATAAATATAATAATAAGTATAAAAAAAAAGCTGTGTATCATAAGGAATAGCAGAAAAACATTAATTCATAATAATAATAAGCAAAAATATGTATAAAAGTAAATATAAACTCTTTTCTTTTAAACTTTAAAATTATGCAGTAAAAAAAATATATATATTCAAAAATAATGAATAAAAGAAGAAAAAATAAAAAAAAAAGTAAAAGGAATATATAATAATAATAGTAAAATATATCTATAAAAGATATAAAAAAAACTCTATTAAATTCTGTAGTAAAAAAACTATAATAATATATAAAAAGTGTAAGTAAAAAAATACTTGGATTATATAATAATAAAAGTAAAGGAAACCTATAAAAAAAAAGATATAAATCAAAATAAATATAAAGTAAAAGAAAATTAGAATTTATATAACAATAGTATGATAAATATAAAAAACTCTTTTACCTTTAAATTTTGCAACTCACTTTTATGTAACTTTAGTAAATGCTGATACCGCAAATTATTAGCATATTCTCGATCCTCTTTTTCAGCCTAAAAATAAATAAATAATAATAATTTAATGATATCAGGATAACATTAAATATAATAATAATAAAAAACGATAAAAAAAATTATACATAAAACATTAGGAGTATATATAAAAAGCATATTAATATTAAATTATAACGTAAAAAATTATAATAAAATAAAATATATATAATATCATATAAAGACTAAAGATAACTATAAAAAAATATTATAATATAAAAATAATAAAAACTTAAAATATTAGTGATATCCTATTTAATATAAATATATATAAAATTAAAAATTAAAAAAGTAGTAGTGGATAGTAATAGAAAATATAATATATATAATATATACAATAAATACAATTAGGTAATCTAAAAAACTATTAATATATATAAGCAAATAAAAGAAAATCACAATATAATATATGAATAGTATATAATAATTATAACTAAACAATAAGTTATAAACATATTGAAGGTAGTGATATAATAAACAATAAATTGATAGTAACAAAAATAGGTGATAATAATAAATATAATAAATAATGATGAAAGAAACTAAACTATATAATAATAATTAATAAAATAAAAATAATGAGTGTTAACTAAAACTAAATTATTATAGTAAGTATATTTATAATAAATAATCATAACTATAATAATACTAAATAATGAATGGTACCTAAAAATATAATAATAAAAAATATAAACGCACTTTGGAGGTGTGCCGCATTTCCAAAAAGGCCTGCTGTTCTTTTTTTTCAAGTTTACTACAATTTTTTAGATCAGACTTGAGATGTTTAGCTTCTTCCTTGTAGTCATGCTGTTGTTTTTCTTTAAAAAGCTTAAATTCCTATAGAATAATATATAATTATAATAATAGTAGTAATAATAATAATAATAATAAAACCTTTTTTCTAATAGTTTCCAGTTCTAAGGCTTGCGCGCGATAATTCTTACATAAAGCTTCATGCAACTTTAACAATTCTCTTTCATTCTGCCTGAATTTCTGTGCTTCATCCGCTTGGTACTTTCTTTCTAACTTTTATTAAAGTAATATCATATAATATAAATAACAAGAATATAGTAAAGTACGGCTTCTAAGGAAGCTTTATGGGAGCTAAGCAACTCCTCCAAAGCCTTGCTGTGCTTTATATCCAACCGCTTACGCTCATTTTCACGGTTTAACGCTTTCAAAGCTGCAATTTGCTGCTGTCGAAAAGCTTTCACTAACAAAAAAACACAATTATTCATTACATATTGTGAAAGGTGTCATAGATATCACCACGTGACACGCAGAAGAACAAAAAAAATTATGAAAAAAAATTACCGCGATTATTCGCCTTTTGGGTTTCTTCATCGACTCGACGGGTAACTCTCTGGCGCGAGCCGTCCATATTTCTTTTATAAGTGGTTTTTATCTTAAAAATAAATAAACAGTAATAATAATAAGTAAATAAAAATATTAATAATAAATTTTTTTAATAATAAAACAAATAATAAACAAAAACTAATAAAATATTAAGCAAATAAAAGATAATATTAATTACTTCCGATAATAATAATGATAAACTCATAACAACAATACATACATTAGTTAAAACGTATATATTAAATAATATTAATAAAAAAAGAATAAATAATTTCAGATAATATAAAAGGGAAAACAATATAGAAAATAGTAAAATAACTAAATAAAAATAATAAATAAAATTCAAGTATAAATGATCTATATATTTTATTAATTATAAATTTCAAATAATATAATTTTCCATTATAATAATAAAAGAAAAAAATAAATTAATTAAAAAAAATAACATAAATAATAATAAATAAATTAAGTATTAAAATAAGTTTACAAAAAAAATAATAAACATTATAAATATAAAAAATAAAATTCATATATAAAAATAAAGTTTACCACAATTAAAAAACTACAAAATTATTATGAAAAAAGTACATTTTTTTTAAGAATTCCAAAGAAACTTTTCAATAATTTAAAAAAAATAGAAAATTTTTACAAAAGAAAATTTAAATAAAATATATATTATTATTAAAAGGTTCAATAAATTTTCAAAAATAATATCAAATTTTGAAAAAATATTAATAATTATAATTACAAATTTTTAAAAAAAAATTAACACAATTTTTTAAAAAATTATTATGAAAAGTACAATAATCATAATAAAATTCGCACATAAAGAAAAAATTAAACACGATTTTTACTTTTTTTAGAAAATTCCTAAAATATAATAATTTTATTATAAAAAGATTACAATAAATTTTCTAATTAATGTAGAAATGTTACATACAAATAATCATAATAAATATTATATAGATATATAAGAATTTCCAACACAGTTTTACTTTTTTTAAAAGAATATAAAAAACGATTATGATATTATTACATAAAAAGTACTACAAATTTTAGATAAGACAACAAAAGTTTACCGATAAGTAGTAATAAAAATAAAATTCTCACAATTTCTACTTTTTTTTTTAAAATTCCATTATTTAAAATGTTAAAATTACGATCGTTTTGTGCTTAACAGGAACTGAAGAGTCGAATTCCTTCAGTTCTTCTTGCCCGTCACTAATATTTTCTTCATCTGATAAAATAATTAAATAATAATAAAAATAAAATAGAAAGCAACCCAATAAAAATAATAAATAGAAAAAAAGAACAGTAATTATAATATGAAATAAATAAATAAAGTAAAAAAAAGATAACTAAATTATTAATAATAATGATGATATATATTTATAATTATCATAATAATAATTGTTAAATAAAAAATTATAAAAAATATAATAAATAGAAAATAAATGACGGCAATATAGTAATAAGTAATAAATAAATACAAAGTAAAAACATGGTAAGTAAATATTAATATTAATTTTTTTAATAAAAAATATAAAGAAACCAATAAAAAATATATAAAAAAATATAATACAGTAATAAAAATAATAAAAATAACATAATAAATAAAGTAAAAAAATTGATAAGTAATATATTATTTATTTTAAAAAGTAATAAAAAGACCAAGTGACAAATAAGATGATAATTTGTATTAAATAAATAATAATAATAAAATAATATAATATAATATAGCAAAAAAGTAAAGTAACAGTTACAAAAATAATAAATAATAAACAAATTATAGTAAAAAATTATAATAATTGTAATAAATAAACAATAATATAGTAAAAAATATTGAATACATAACAAAAATAATAATAAATAATTAAGTAAAATAACAGAAATATATTAAATAAAAAGTAAAAAATACATAAATAATAATAATAAATAGTCAAACAGCAATAAACCCTCTTCTTCGTACTGAATATTTAAAAACTCATCCACTAAACCAGCCATTACGTTCATCGACTCTTCTTCGGAGCAGCCAGTCACAAAAGGATGCTAGTAATAGTAATAATAGTAATAAAAATAAAATTTCAAATAAACTTTAAAAATATAACACAAAGAAATAATAATTATAAAAAATTATTATAATAACGATTTTATATAAAAATAATATTAAATTAAAACAGGTAAAAATATATTAGAATAATTATTAATAACAATACTTAATATAATAAAATAATATAACTAATAATAATATTATTATAAAAAAAATTATCCAACAAAAAAAATAATGATAATAAATTTAATGAAAAAATAATATTAATAATTCAGTTTGAAGAAGTAAAATTATATTAATATAGTTAAATAGTAATATTAAATAATATAATAAGTATTACGAACAAATTATAATAATACCGCCAGAAGCTCTTTAACGGAGGGACGGGCCGCTGGATCTTTCATGAGGGCCAGAGTCACAAAGTCTTTGAATTCATTGGACCATAAACAAGAATCAGCCAATGTGGGCGGATCAGATTTCGGAATGCTAAAAAAAATAATAAAACGTTCGGTCGTTTGACCAATAAAAGTTAATATTATGAAATATAAGCCAAATACTAAGTAAAAAAAGGGTTAAAATAATGCGAAAAGTGTGTCGTAACGGTGATTTTTTAAATAAACGAAACCACAGTAAGGAAAAAACCTATAAAGAACTTTGATTGGATGCAGATCGTGAAGAGGAGGATTCATCTCCGCCATTTCAATACAAGTAATGCCTAAAGACCAGATATCGCACTAATAATATTAATAATAAAAATAATAATAGTAACGAATAATAGTAGTAGTAATAAAGGTAATAATAATATATAAATACGATGATTTTACTTTATATAATAATAGTAATATTAGTAATGATATTATTAATGCATATAAAAATGAAGAGAGTTTTACCTTATGGTCATACGGTTTGTCTCGAATGTTTTCACATAATATTACTTCGGGTGCCATCCTTGTTAGTATATATTCATTATTATTATGATTTATTAATAATATTATTATTGCTATCACTTCATTATTATTTTATATATAAACCAATATGGAGTCCCAATAAAAGTATCACGAAGTTGATGCGGCTTACTATTTTGAGCGGAAACTCCAAAGTCGGCTAGTAAAGTATATTTTAAATGATTATTGTTCTTTTACATTTTTAATCATTATTGTAATATATTACTAATAGTAATGTCAAGTAAAACTGCTTTAATATAAATATATTTTTTAATTTTTTAAAACTTTTTCCTTGATAAAAAAAATTTTCTCTACTGCTTTCATATTTTTTACTCAAAATAATAAGCAGGTAGCCGCGTGACTTAAATACGAAGTATTCGTATAAAAAATAAAGTTAAGCTTTACTAATTTTGGCTATATTATTTTTAATTCCATTTAAAAATATATTCTTTTTAAAGCTTTTCTAATGTATGATTCCTTCGCCTCATGAATGTATACACAAAAAGTTGTTTAAAGATATTAATACGCATTACTTTTTGAAGTACATAAAAATTTCATTATGAAAAAGAAGTATAATAATAAATATTTAAAATTATATTATAATAATGAAATCTAATTAAAAGATATTAATAGATTTTTAAATATATTTATAAATTTAACTAAATTAAATTTCGCTATCCCCAAGTTGGCTTGCCCATCTCAGTAAAAAATAATTCCAGAATGAACTTAATCAAATAATTAATTTTTATATTACTTAAGCAGATTGAATTCATTAATAAAATAAATATAAATTTAAAAAAGATTTAAAACTATATAATAATGAAAACTAATTGAAATAAATAAGGACATTTTTAAAAAATAAGTTTACATGTTAATTTTTTAAATCTTTTTTAAAATTATTACTTCAATAAATATATTTTTTAACTTTTCTATACTCAATTAGCTTGCCCATTCTTTGTAGAAAAAATGTTCTCTAGAGTAAATCTCATTAAAAAAAATTATTTATATGAGAATATAGAAATTATATAATAATAATGAAAAATAATTGAAATCAATATATAAATCTTTTTAATTATAATTATTAATTTAAATTAAATAAATTTCGCTAAACACAATCTGAGTTGCTCCTATAGGAAGAAAATTATATTCTATATTATTCATATATAAACATCTTTGATAAAAATTAATTTATTTTATAATAATGTTTTAAAAAAAAATTAATAATAAACCAATTGCAGTAATTAACAGATTTTTAATTATGATTTTTTAATTTTAATTAAATAAACTTTGCTATACATAATTTGACATGTCTATTCTTAGTAAAAATAATTATTTCAAAATAACTAAACCAGAAAATTACTTTCTATATAATTCAAAATAAATTTATTTATTATAAAATTATTTTGAAAAATAGATAATGACACTGAAAACTAATTAAAATAAATTAACAGATTTTTAATTATTAATCTGAATTAATCAAACTTTGCTATACCCAATTTGACTTGTCCATTCTTAGTAAGAAGAATATTCCCAGCCTTTATGTCTCTGTGAAAAACATTCACAGAGTTGTGTAAATAATCCAGAGCTGTTTAAAAAAAGATTAATTAAAAATTGTATATAAATTAATTTAATGCTCAAAAATAAATTTTTGGTTATTATATTTTAAATACAAAGTTAAAGATTGAAATTAGATATTTTGTTGAAAAAATAAAAATATATACTAAATTGCCGGACCAAAGAAAAGTATAAAAAAATTGTTACTCATTAATAAATTAAAAAAAAAAAAGAATTTTTAAAAAATTATTTAATTAGTAAAATAAACTTAAATTTAAAAGTTTGTAAAGTAAATCATAGAAGTTAACGCAGATAAAAATTTATATTTTTATTAAATTGCTTATAATTTTGAATTTATAAACTTTTTAATATTTTTATAAAAAAATAAATAAAATACGTTTATTATAAAAAATTCTTGAAATAATAAAATTTTAAAATATTTCATATAGTTCACTTTAATATAAACATGAACTACAAAAAAAAAAGCTACTTGTTAATAAAATTTGTAAATATCTTGATAGAAACTGAATTACAATAAGTTTATAAACTGAATCTAAAATAAATTAAGGGAATAAATTTATAAATTTTTAATAAGTTGCTTATAATTTTAATTTAAAATACTTTGTAAAATTTTATAAAAATGCTAAAAAAACATTAAATACTTAAAAAAATTTTAAAATATTACATAATTTGATTTTATAAAACTATGGACTACAAAAAATAGCTACTAATTATTAAAAATTTGTATATATTTATGAATCTTTATAAAAAAATATAAGGTGTGTAAAACTATAAAAATTTTGATAAATTGCTCATAATTATAAATTTTTAATACTTTTCAGAATTTTACAATAAAATTATTAAATTATAATTATTTCACAAAGTTGATTTTAATAGAAATATAAACCACAAAAAATAGCTACTTATTAATAAAATTTGTAAAAGCCGTTTATAAAAAAAGATTCACAAAAAGGTTACAAAATAAATCTATAAAAAAAATTAAGGCGTGTAAAATTATAGCTTAAATTGTATAATACAAACAAACCCAAAAATTGTAAATTATAACTTAAAATAAATACAGAGTTGACTTTAATTAAAATGTGTAATTATTAAAATTAGCTATTGAAATTAATTTATAATCAATTTTAATTATCTGTAAAGTTACAAAAAATAGCTACTATTGATAATATTGTAGAAACTTTATAAAAGAAAAGATTTACAAGTTTGCAAATTAATTCTAAAATTAATATTAAGTAAATTATAGCTTATAATTCTTTTAAATATTTAATACTAAAATTTTTATAGAAATTGATAAAAATGAAAATAGTTTTTTATATAAAATTTAAAAAATAAAAACCTTATAAATATAAAATTTATTAAGTTTATTGTTAATTTTTATACTTAATTTTATAATTAAAACTTATTCATACTAAAAATATTGGTTAACAGTAAGTTTTGAGATACTAAATCCAAAAAAAAAATTTTAATCTTATAACTAAATTAGTAAAAAGAATTATTAATTACCAATAAATCTTAGTAAGTTTATATTATTGTAAAAAGTGACTCTACCTTTTAAACATTGATAAACACATGCTTGAATTTGTTTTTCATCTAAAGAAGAATTTAATTCTAATTATAAAAAATTGAGTTAATAGTCATACAAAATCTACAAAATAAAGTAAAAAAATAATTTTATATAAAAAAAACGTAGAGTTAATATGAAAATCCCACAAGTAGTGTAAAGTTAGTATATACGTAAACCTAAAATCATATATTTAAGCTAAATAAAAGATCATTATGAAACCCGTGTAAATAGAATCAACAGCTCCTCCATCACAATACTCCATAATTAACTAAACAGTAAAAGTTTAGAGAAAAGAAAGTAGGTATAAAAGCATAACTACTCACGTAAAGTGAATTCTTCCAGTAATAAGAATCATAAAGTTTTACTATGTTAGGATGGTCACAAGAAAGAAGAATGCTAATTTCAGTCTGAAAAGATTCTAATTCAGAATCGCACTGAATATTTATAATTTTAACAGCAACGATTTGCCCTGGTTAACGGTAATTTTTCAAAAGACACTAAATTACTTAATAACTATAACCATTTTTTTTTAAACTAGCTTTAAAAACTTCCCCAAAAGAGCCATCTCCTATAAGTACTTTGTTTTCATATGTTGTTTCAGGGTCGACTCCCTGCTTTACACTTTTAGGTAGGACAACAGCAGGCATCTATATATTTTTATAAGCCAAAACTATCTTTTAAATATATATATTAATAAACCCTCGAACGCCTAGTATCATGAAAACAGGCTAAACAAAAAATTCTCTTAACTGAACAGGCCCACAAACAAACAGAAGAAAAGAAGACAATACTCACGTCTTTTATACACAACGCAATTTTTAATATATCTAAACAATAGCATATATTCTCTAATATTATTGGCTAAAAGTTCTTATTCCTCATAAAGAATAACGAATCATCGATAAGTTTAACCACCCTTAACTTCGCTGATTCGAGAATTGATTTGGTGACTTAATATGGCTTTTGGTTCATTGTAGCATGCAGCTCTCATAACAGTCCCTCTGAAACGGCAGCTCCAGTAACCAGTTTTGGAATATCCAGTTGACCCCCAATAAATATATTAGCATTTCGTTAATTTAAATCTCTAAGTTTTTTTCAACTTGCACAGCAAAGTTCTTGTCGTTAAGTAAAAAATTTTTATACTAATCGAATACAACCATGTTGATCTAAGGTGATGGGCAAACTTGTTTAGGTTAGAATAAAGCTTATTTATCTAACTTTTTCGATAAGCGTTTTATATACGCTACATTTTATTTGACGTAAGAAGTATTACTATCGATAATTCCTGGTTTTTGCTATCAAATTATTTCTCTTGACCCATAAGAGTAATAATGTGACTGTACTTTCGGTGAATGAAAACCTTTTACTAAAAATGGATCGCAGTCAACGCAGTTTACTAAAGATAATAAAAAGTTTAAACTGTGACGTAATCAGACCTATTTAATCCAATGCTTGTGTACTATTTTTTGCACTACATAGCCCCCATCTTTTCCTCAGAAAAACGTTTATTCTGTTTGCAGCTTTTTTTGCTTCGGCTTTTACTTTCTTGTTTTCGTTCATTGTCAGAATGCGTTTCTTGGTTAAGAAAAATTATTTTTTTGTAGGGTGCAGTTTATTCCTATTGTAAAAATTTTAACAGTACCAAGTTTAGCACCACTAGGATAAAAATAGAAATTTAATATTATATTATGAAAAAGTAAAACTTTTTTACAACTACGCATTTCCATATAGACTCCGGATATATAAAATGCAAATGACGGAAAAAAATATAGGCTATTACTCCTGACCGGAGGGCTCGGGTATTCGAAGTAGTTAGCTCGACCGAGCACCAGGAAAAGTCATTTATAAATAAATAAAACCATAGATATCGTAAAAACCTTTAAATTACCCATCAAGTGTGTCGTTTAAGAGAAGATCTATATAAATATTTTATAATGACTAGTTACAAAAATTGAACTAACTAAGCTGAAATAAAATTTAACGAGAAAAAAAAGTGTTTACTGTAACAGTAACAATTTTTTTTTTCTCAATTAAGTAACTGTCTACAAATATTTTAAAAATTGGCCTGTGGGTCTAAAGTTTTTCAAACAATTAGCTATAATTTTATGTAAACCCTCTATTTCAAACTTATTAAAAGTGAGATAAATGACGAATAATTTGGTTATATCATTATGTGGTTGTAAGTATATGCAGTATATCAAATAACATGTTTATTTCATTTTAAAATTTTAATCTCTTTTATTATATAATCTCTTCCGTTATTATGTTGACGGTAAAAAGTATATAGCGTAAAATACATTTTAACGTTCTCTCCATGGTTCTTTGTACGAGAACTCGTTGAACGCTTTCTTATTAAAAGATTGCCTTTTTTGAATCGAATGGGTATATAAGCAAACCTTTTACCGCACCACTTTCTTGCTAATAGTCCAAAGGACTTAACATTTGGCGTTTTAAGGTTTTTTAATGCTCTGGAGCATACCGCCTCAAAGCAGGGGCTCGTATCTCAAGGTAAAGCATAAGCCTTATCAGTTGGTAATGCAGAGAGTTGCCAACAAAAAAAGCTGCGGTGTTTAAGTTAAGCCGCTAACTTATTAAAACAATACTACGCAAGACCAAATGCTTGCGTTCCGTGTGCTATTACCGACAAATCCTGATGATGGTTTTTTGTCAGTTTTTTATTGCCGTAATCGGGTGAGATTCTTCTTTTTTGGTTCCAATGTTTGTCGCAACTTCACCCTGTAATTTTTAACTATATTTTAATAAAGGTTGTATCTATATAGTTGTTTTTTGATATATAAATAATTAATAAAAAGTAGAGGTTGCTCGACTCTTAAGCGTCACGCAGCCTATCCCTGTGGTTCTAAGGTTTCCATTTCAAAGTTCTTAAAGAATTTAAAGGTTTTTATAACTTTTAAAAATTCGCATCTCTCTGTAATTATTACTTCCAAACGTCCAAGTTATATTTTATTCCATAATATAAAAGCTAGTTAGCCTTGAGCGTAAATAGTATATAACTATATACATTCTAGTATAGCCTGTTACATATATTACTTAAAGGAATTAACAAATTCTGCAAAACAAAAGTTATTAGCTAGGTGATTAGTTTTATAAAAGGAAGGGATGTTATTTATTTAAACTTCAGCTTACTTTGTTTAAATTCCCATGTATTGTTTGCAATAAAGGCTTAGGGGTAACACTACTACATTTACTTATATGGATGGGTAAAATGTTTATAAAATATATATAAAAAATTATTAAAAAAACGCATAATAAGGAAAAGTAAATGATTTACTATTTAAGTAAATATAATGACTTACACTAGCTAAATTAAGGTAGGCAAATTAACATCCCACAATTAAAATAAGAAAAAATATATATATAGCCTTAAACAGTTATAACTGATTCCACATGTAACACAATTAATTTAAAAAAAATTTAGTTTCCAATTCTCTGTAAGAGTTGCGAATTGCTAAGGTAGAGTGATGTAACTTATCTTAAAAGCTTTAGCAAGCTTGCAGTAGCAAAACTTATAACAAGTGCTTATGGTATGAGGGTCGGGTTCAAGGAAAGTGCACATGTAATTATATATAACTCGGCTCGCGCACCCGCTGCAGTTTTTAAGCTTTTTTGTTTGTTGCGGGGTTGAATTTGGTGCGCCTGGGAGTCAATAATCAAATAAGTTTATAGCCTTCTAGTACTTTGACTTTCTTGAATCATATTAATTTATTGTCTATAATATACTTTATATATATATTATTACTTTGCTGTCTATAATAGACATGTTCTCGAAGTCATTCAGCTTGTGAAATCAACGCAAGTTTAAAAAAGTTAGGTGGTGCCCTTTATGTTTGTAGATACCTCCATCAAGAAACTCTCCGCGGGTAACTGTGCTTTATTCGTGCGGGCAATTGAAATAAATTTGCAATGTTAGTATAGTTTATCAGTTTTATTTTATTAATAAAATTTAGGAAACCTATTGCTTTTTAACCATGTAGTCCACATAAAATTTTAAAAAAATTAATCTTACTGGGCCAACATATAATTAACAGTAAAGTATTATATTATTTAACTACAATGAGATATATAAGAAGTTATATAAAGTTAAAAATAATTGAACTATCTTATAGCTTTGTAGTTGACTAAGTAGCGCAACACACCATTTTACACTTTATTATTTTGTTGTACTTTTAAACACTCAGCGCTTAAGATTTGGCAGGCTCCCTTTTAACATTACAAAAATTTTTATTTAATAATTTGAGTTTAAACATAGAAAAAGCCCGACACCGCTAATCTGTTTTTTAATAACCCACAAAAAGTCTGAAACGTAAACCTTTCAAGGTTTATTAGACTAATTCGTGCCCTCAAGGCTAATGTATTGAGTTAGTTACTCATCATATGAATATTTAAAAAAAAAAATTTGAATTAAAAACCTTTTCATTAGTTCTCATTTAATCATGACGGCAGTTACTTTGTAGTAAAAAACTGAAAATTTTTTATTTCTCCGCAGTAATAAAATTTAGTTCTGTTTTTTTAATTCATGATAACTTAAATTATACTCGTACTATCAAGCTTTCTTTTAAAGATTTATGTGACGTTTTAGTAACTTGCCAAAAAAAATTTAATTATATTATGTGTTCAGAAACAATTTCTCTAGTACAGTTTAATATAACAAATAAGTCTATCCATAAAACAATAATTTATTGTTTAAAAATTAATTTAAAAAATTAAAACGTAAAGAAATTGTTACTTTTTTTAATATATATATATATTTATAAAGATTAGAAGCGGTCAACGGACTGTCGTCCGACTAACTACAGTTCTTGATATAGGCTAAGGGAAGGGTACACCGAAGGCCTTCACACGGTCTTACATGGGGACAAATTCACTGATTTTCTATCGCTGTGCCTGTCACTACCAGCAACGCCCGCCCTGCTGGCACTGGCCATGGTTCTGTCGCCACGAACAACTTTGATCGCCTGTCTAACGAACTGAAGACTCTACCGGCAACGTTGTTTTATTCGAGGGGCCATGCTACCGCGAAGTATCGAGGACAAACTAGAGCTAAACCAATTGCGCCGGTGCATTTGAAAGAAGCTCACCGGCGCTTTTTGATTGTAGATGAGAAGCCAAGCTGAGCTTTATACCGGGGTCAAGGGGACAGGCAGCCGGGTTTTCGCGAAGGTAGTGTTAAGGCTTAGAGTAATAAAGAAGAAATCACGCTTTCTCTACTTTTTTGCTGCCCAATATGCTCTCTCAAACACAAATGATGCTCTCTTCCAGCTAACTTCCCTCTGAAAGATGCCAGCGAGTCCCTTGAGCTAGTTAATGCAGAAAAATTAAAACGATTGTCGAAACGCTACCCAACGAAAGGCACCAGACCTCCATGGCATTTCTAATGAGATGATGGGAAACCGTCTATAGAAGCGATGCGTTATTCATGCTACCTAGTTAATTCAGTGAGGGCCCCGGCACCTTTTTAGAACGATGGGGGATGGCGACTATTGCTGTCCGCTGTATCTGCGACCAGCAAATATCGACGACCCGGCCTCCTGTTAGTGGTCAACAAAGTTAGCGAACCGCTTTTCTGCGCAGTCTTGGGGTGGTAGCCGAGACCTGTGACGCCTTGGCTGATTTCCAGTTTGGACTTCAGCGAGGACACTCAACAACCCAGCAACTCCTCTGCATAATCGAACCTAATAACACCAACTACCGAGAAGGTAAAAAAGAAAACGTGTTTTTACAATAGGCTACTAAGCCGTTTATCTACCCTCACAAAAGGTTAAAAAGCATTTTTATTTACGTGTATCAGTTTAGACTAAAGATGGTTAAAATAATCATAAAATAATCATGATTATTTGGGTTCCATTTAGGTTCCATTTAAAGAAGTGTATGTGATTAATTACCATATTTGTATGCAGGAAATATTTGGCTTACTTAGCCTGGCCAAAAAAAGTTAAAATCGCATTTTTTAAAAAATATTAGTTAATGATGATTTTTTAATTGGTTTATCTTTTAGTTATAGTTTCTGTGTGGTTTACTTTAGATTAGCGTATGCGTAGGTTGTTTTGTTTGCGTTATTTCAGGATAGTGTGAACTACTTGCGCCTTTAACTTTAAAAAGGCAACAACAGGCACCGTCTTCTTAGACGTCGAGAAGGCCTTTGACCGAGCTTAGCATGAAATTCTGCTGCACAAACTGCGCCCTTTAACCATACTTCGTAGTTTTCATAGAATGCTGGTTATATTCAAAAAGTCGCGCCTTAGGACCCCACAGAGTACTCTTCTGTCGCCCCCACTATTCGGAACCTATGTACGTGATGTGTCCTTCCCAGTCAATTCTCACAAGAGAGTCGCCCTATACGCCAATAAAACAACCTTTTATTCGTCGTCCAAGTCCCTCGCACTGCTGTTCCAGCTTCTGCGGCGCTATCTGGAGGTGCTTGCCGGCTGTACCGTAAATGGGAAGTTGCTGAAAATGCGACCAAAAGTAAAAAACTAGTGAGTTGGATGGGGTGAAGATCCCGGTTGCTACAAGCGAAATATTTAGGAGTCGTCATCAATAACAATTTCTCGTAGCGACAGCGCGTGGACTTCGTAGTGGCGAGGATTAAGACAGCCTCTTTCCTAAGCGGCACAACAAACGGCAGTTGTATGTGTATTGCATTTAACCAGTAATAAACATAACGTACGAATCTGTTGCTAGGACCTTCAATTCCACGCCAATAGCATCTGTACTCTCCGAGCGCGACAAATTGTTGTTGGGTGTGATGACAAACGCACATGACTAGTGTAAAATGAAACCCTTCACCGACCCATTAAACACCGTCTTCAAACTAATGCCATTGTCCTTTAGGTCTAGCTTGTCAGACACATTAAATCAGCTGCAGAAGAGCTAGCTCATTTTAAAAACTTGGGATGGGCACGTTACCGCCCCCGTGGTGCGCTTAAGCGCCACTTTTTGGTTCGCAGTTTGCCTGTGATTACTCTAAATTGAGAGCTCCATTTTTAAAGCTCTTTATTCGATCGAGCGCCAGAAAAGCCATTTCTAGGTAATTAAAGTAAAAGGTAACGATTTTCCTTCACTTCTTGCATCCTTCGCCTTTCTTTTTACCTCCTTTTTACAGCTGACTAAGTCAGTTTTTACCAAGAAACTTTATTATCGTTTCCAAAGTAAAAACCACCCCTTTTCCGAACTATCCTGTCTCCTCCCCTAGTTTATCATAAACTTTGTTGACTGTCGTTTTAGGCCCTTTTCATAAATTTTTATCTCACTCTTCCACTCTTTACAAGTTTCGTTTGTGTACAAAAAGTTTAGCTACATTTACTTCTTCCGAGATATTTTTGTTAGTTAAAATATCTTTTTTCGCCTTCACCATAATAAACTTGTGTATTAAAAAAGCGTTATGGAGTTAGTAATCAGTTCCAGCAATAAATGTCATTTATACTATCACCCCGCTTAACTTACCTATCATAACAACCTCTCGCCAAACATTTTAACTATTATTGAGCTCTTTCAGCAATGCAGTTAATGCAGAGCTAATAAACGAGTATTTTTAGATTTAATCTCCACAAGTTCTGCACTCTTCACAAATCTTGTAACCATATCTTATTAAAAAGATCATTGTAGACACTTACCGTTATAGACTATATCCAAAACCCTATTATTCTGCTTTGCTCTTGACAAATATTGTCATGAACAAGCTTAGTAAAAAAGGATCTGCTAAATATAAGCATTAGTTACAGCTTCCTATTCAACTTATTAGCAAACTTTCAGGCATACGAATACAGTTACGATTCTAAAACATAGCCTTTAAAATCCTGCAGTAGTTTCTTTTTACCAATATAAATATATAAAAGCATTTTATAGCACATTGACTAACCTTCTATATCCGCAATATAGTACCATTCTCTAACACTAGACTAAAAATGAAAAATAAAAGTAGCTTTTGCTCTCTTTGTCTAAAGCGCCAGGATAAAATCTTTTAGTGTTATGTAAAGTAGTAGCTGTTTTCCAGCCTTCTAGGAATCAATTCCTTGTAAAGAACTGTATGTGATAACTCAAATTCTTGCACAGTTGCAAAATGCTTAGTAAATGCTTCTTACTAACGTTTGCCAGTTTGGTTTTAAGTACCGCTCTTCTTGTCCAAGAATCCACTCTTAGTCACCCAATATAGCTCCCTGTAATAATCCTTACAAGACAAAACAAAAGCTGTCTTAAAAATTTACTATAATAAAGGCCATTTTTAAAAATAAACTGTTCTTAAATACCAAATGAGCTAAAGATTTCATATTCAACCTTTTTGCCATATCTTTACCTTGTAAAGTACTCAAATACATTTTTTATATCCCTCAATAATATATTTTTTTTTCTTGATATCGTCTCCATGTAAACAACATAAACTCAGCAAATAGTAAACTATCATATTACAAGTCTTTTTCAGTTTTGTCTTGATATCTTTCCTTTCATAATTAATATTCACGTAGTTTAGTTCATAAAATTTAGTTCCTCGCTGTTCATCATTTTATTATTACACTTTCCGTAAATCTCTTTCACAATTTTATTTTGGATCCATTAAGTTGAGGCCTTACGACAGTTAACCAAATTAATTATTATAAACTACTTAGTGCCATCCTTAACTCGACCGTGTTGTAAAGTGCTGTATATTTTACTCTCATATACACCAAAAACTTTCTTTTTATAATACAAGTTCTTTATATTGTATAAGAAGTAAAACTAACTACCTTCTTATCTCCACCAGATATACCGTATTGATTTCTTTCACCGGTAAAGACAATGCTAAAGTTCTTATTAATAAGGTTAAATTTAACAAAAAACATAATTCCCCTCGATATAATATTGTAAAATACTTCATTTAAAAAATTAATAAATATAATAAGTAGATTCCGTAATATTAAATACTAGGTTAAACTTTAATTAGTTTTCTATTTTCATTACCACTGAAAGATAAGCAAATTGCTCTTTTAAAATTTTTCTTGCAAGCTAGAATACTTTTTTTAAGGTTTTACGTAGTTCCAGGCAAGCAATTTATAAAAATGTTGACTTTACAGGTTTAGTACCTGATTAACTAATCTATTATAAAGCATAAAAAAGTGATATAATAATTTATGGACAATTAAGAATAATTAGAGAGTTAGACACAGTTAAAAAACAATGTTATATTGATTTAACAACCCTTTCGAGCCCCTAACAGCGATTTTAAAAAAAAGTTATGGAACCCAACGTGTACGCTGATTTATGCAATTAACTATTAAGCCTTCGAACGGTCAGCCAATAAAAAACTCCTTAAATCCTTTATTGGTTATGAAGCGTTTCTTAATATAGATAAATTCGGTTTGTAGCGATATCGTCATTCTTTGCTAAATATATGTAGAGGTGGCCTTTATCTGTTCTTGCTAAAAATACTTGTGATGTAATTATAATAATAAATATGTTTATATGGCCTTTAAAAACTCTTGAAGTATTGTACTTATATTTTTTATTAGTTTATAATATTTATAGTTAAGCTACTGTAAATATACATAATTTCCTTGTATACATTAATATAACAGTTTCTGTAGTTACTGAATTATATATTTGTATTAATTTTTAGATGCCAGCCAGAAAAGGAAAGCGAAAGTGGCCGGTTATACCCTCGCCTTCTGCGTTTACTCAAGACGATCACGAAACATCCATTACTTTATGGTGGCTTACTAGTAGCGAAGTATAATTTATATATATTTATGAATATGTTAATTTTATATTATATTTATCTGCTATATATTTTTTACTAATCATCAAGATTAATTGCTGTCGGCATCTAGGCCACTATTGTCCAATATATAATGTACTTTTTTTCTATATTAACCTTTCTTTTAAAATTTTTATTTAATAATAATTAATATTAGGAGGAGGAAAAAAAAGCTTCTAAAAAACTTCCACTAAAAATAAATTATTGTGTACTACAAGGTTATTTATAATTATTTTCTACTAATTATTTGCACTAGAAATAGCTTTTTTTGTTTTGTTAATATTAAAATTCTATAAAATCTGAATTTACAAAAGATTTTTAACCTCTACATTAAGTTAGAAGTAATCATAGATTTCATTAAGAAAAGTCCTTATAAGAGAAGATCAATTGAAGAAATTTTTAAACGAATGATTCATGTAATACTTTATAGATTTCATTTTTTTTTAATCAGTAAATCCTTGTCTCTTAGACTGAAAAAGATTTTATTTGTTTATGCCTTTATTTTAATTTTTGTAATTAAAAGATGTTCGCTGTTATATAAATAGTTTTTTGTGTAATCAATTTTTTTAAAATTATTAAATAGAAAAGGATAAAAAACTTATCTTTAGATTTGATAAATTTGAAATAATTGCCGTTTATTAATATTAAATCTGATAGTTGCCTACTCTCAAATTAGGAAAAGCAATGTTCCTTGTATCTTAAGATTATATAATTTATTTTTATTAAATAGATGAACATTTTAGAATTTATTATAATAATTCTGAATTTAACTGCCGTTTATTTTAAATTTTGATGTGTTGGTTTACATCAAAATCGAAAAAGTAGAGCTTCTTTTATTTTTTTAAATATTTAACTTTATTTTATAAAAAAAACAAATTAGAATGTTTATAATCATTTTGAATTTATTTTATTGTATTTGTTGGTGTGTTTGGTTTCTATCAAATTAGAAAAAGAAAAATACTTTATTAATTAAATTTCTTAAAATAATTTAAATAAATATGGAAAGTTAAACACTTTAGTCTTTTATATTTTCTTATAAAATTAAAAACCCTTGTTAATTTTTTTTTATTGATTAAATTTTTTGGTTTTGTTTTACTTTTTAACTAATATAAATAATGTTTTTTATCAAAAAGTTAAATACCATATCTATAAACAGAGCGAAATTTTAGCAAGTTTATTATTTCTGGTTATAAAGGCTACAAGAATGATTCAATGAATATAATTATTTTTTAAGGAGTTATTTTATTTGTTTTCTATAGACATAAAGAAAAGGGTTTACAATTTTTTGTTTAGTAAATTTTATATTTTATTTTTATTAGCGTGGCTTTGTCTTTTCTATCGTTCTTTGCAAAGCAACTTTCATTATTTTTTTAAATTATTTCATCTTTTTTTGTGTAAATTTTTTATTTATTTTTTTAAAATTGTTATTTAGGATTAAAATTATTTTTTTAATATTATTTGAGAAAATTTATAAAGAGGATTCACAATTTTAATAATTATTTTTTATTTATTATATATATATTTAAATTACTATTTACTTTATATAATGAAACGAGATTTTACAATACAGTTTATTTCAATTTAATTTTTATTAGATCTAATTTATTAGTGTTAAAAATGTCTATTAGGACGAATAACATTTTATTCTTCTATATTATCAAGAGAACTTATTGATTAACACGATATTATTTATTATTATTTGAATTTCTTTTTTATTTTACGTTTTATTTTTTATTGGGGAGCGGAAAAATTCTTTCTGTTTAAATTTATTAATTTAAAATTTTTAGATTTTTTAATTCTTTTAATTTTTTTTTTTTTTTAGTGGTTTTACCAGTTTGGTTGCTTATTGGAAGACAGTATATACGCTTCTGTTTTGTATGGAATGGATTTAGAATTAAAAACTCAATCAGCATTTTTTAAAGCTGTTGATGGCTTGTGGACAATCACTGTAAGGTTTTTTATAAAATTTTTATTAAAAAAAAGTTTTTTTAATTTAATTTCCATATTTATTAAATAATATGATTTTTATTATTTTAAGTACTTTAACTTTTCTGCTTTATTTTTTTAATAACTTTTTTTTTTAGTTATATGAATTTATTATTTAAATTTTTAATTTTTATAAAAAATAAATAAAACCTTAAATTTTTTAGTTTTTATTTATTTACTTAGGACGAGCAAGAAACTAAAAAAGTCAAATCAAGTGGCGTGCTTGATTACTTAAATGATTTACAAAGTTTATTATTATTATTATTATCATTATTATTATTATTTACGAAATAAAATTGTGTTAGGCAGCATTTTTTATTTAATGAATAAAAATTCTCGAGGCTATACTTTTGAAGAACTTATCGATCTACTAGCTCCTGTATTTCTTTATAATATATTTTTATTTATTATTATTACAACTTATTATAATAACATTTATTATATCCATTACTACATTTAAAAATTATTAAAATTTAGAACTGGGCCTTTTTTAGGAAGCCAAGTCATAATGTATTCGCACAATCGTTTCAAGAATCTTTACTTTCCACACTTTACTGCACTTATTTTCCTTACTTTAGAGTACTTTTTCTGTACATTTTTATGAAAACTACTATTTTTTTACTATTTGTTATAGAAAGAATCAGAAAGTAAAGGTGTTTGGGTCCCCACAAAATTAGCAAAGTCTGCTCATCTTAGAGCTCGACGTTCGGGGTACTTTCCTATTTCTGATTAGATATTATTCATATAAAATAAAAATTATTAAGAATAGTATACAAAAGGTAAAATAATCTTTTTAATTTTAAATTTATATTTGAATAATAATTTTATTATTATAGGACTTTTGGATTAAATGGAGATGGTAATTTTGTATATACTTAGAATATTTTTTTTATAATTATCTATATATAGTTCTATAGGTTTTTGTTTATTTAAAAAAAACATTTTTATTATAAAAGATAATTTGATTGATCAACTTGGAAAATCTGAAGTTATTAATGAGCAGAGCGTAAAAGGTTTTAAACAATAATCTCAAAGTTTACTTGAAATTATTTTTATATAAGAGCAATTATAAATAATTTTCTTTTTAGGCCGAAAGGAATTGATGGAGTTTAAATATGTCACTACCGAAACAGCTGATTTTTTTTCTAATAAAAGAAAAAAAGTAGACATATAAAATTTATTGGATCAAAATACTTTACCTCATGATTAATAAATTTAAGCTGATTATTAATTTCAATTCGCTAAATAATTTTGGATCAAATTACTTCAAATTATTAAATTTAAGTTGGTCAAAAATTTCATTACGATATAAAAGTTTGTATTGTTCTTTGAATTATGAGAATCCCCGAGTTAGTGTTAAAAACTTATGAAAAACGAGTGGGGTTATTAAAAACTTTGTATTAATATTTGTTATATAAATAAATGTTCTATTTTGCTATATTGGTTTTATTATTGCATCCATCCGACTACAGAGGTTTTTTATTATAATTATAAATGAAATCTTGCATATTCAAAAAAGATTACTATTGAGCTCAACAAAGAAAGCAATACCTCACATATTATGTAAAGGCATAATATTAAGTGAGTTACGACATAAATCCGATTTCCTCCGCAAATTTGTTAAGATGTTCTTAAAAATGAACTACCGACCAATGTTGGTGTCCTTTTCTTTTTATTAAAAAAAAGTATTAAATTAAAACTGTAAAAGCTAGAGCGCCTTAGAACCTCCTTATAGATATTGTATTTAAAACTAAATACACGAAAATTAGTGGTTGTCCTTTAATTTATTTTAAAATAACCGGAAACGCAAGATCCAAAATAAAACAGATAAGCTTTAATAGTGAATCTTTAAAATATGGAAACCGGGAAACTTTGTTCTCTTCCATTCGCAACTTTATAAGAGGACTTTACCTATTTATTGCGACTAATCCGTTATAAAGCGCACAAATTCGACGCTTCCCCTCCTTTACCGCTTAGAAAGCCATGAGAAAAAGAAAGGGTTTAACTTTTGAATTTTGGAGCTACTTTAATTCAGTGCTCTGGAGTGTCATGAATGAATTGCTCCTATCAAAGTGCAAAAAAGAATCAGTTAAAAATCTTCTAAAGGCTAATAACTCTTAATTTTAGGTCTTTACAAACCTATAAAATATAGCCACTACATTAAGGAATGCTTTAACCTTTATCTTAAATAGTTGCCTAAATGAGTTTGAAGATAATGCATTACGATTATAAACCTACTAAGTGCAAGGATTTTCAAGCCTAAAAAATAATGGGTACCAGGGGCAAAAGTTATAATTGAAGCTTTAACAGTCTACAATAGAAACTATTTTGGTGTTTTTATAAGAAAACATGTTTCAGTGTATGTTCAATGGTTCAGTGAAAGGTCAATCCTTTGCATAGCTTTTGGTTAAAGCCTTAAGAAAACAATTTTCTTTGCCGATATGCTTTTACTTAATTGCGTTTGCCGTTTCGAATTTCAATAGCTTCAATATATCAATTTTAAGCCTATATTGTTAGAGGCATACGTTTTTTTAAAATTTATTTTTCTATTTTTGGAGAAGGCTAATAACTGTTCAACGCTTTTGTAGCGCAAAAGCAACAGCTAAATATGGTGAAAGTCATATACTCGCTGAGGGCTTAAACAGTAGTGTTACAACCCTGAATAGTTCGGTTTAAAAATAATAAACGGTGATGTTAACTTCTCACTACATAGAAAAGTTAACTGAGATAGGTACTCATTATATTAAAGGGAAAAAGCTAATAGTAGTGGATATACACTTTATTCTTTTTAAAGAATTTTATTAAAAAAGCAGAAATATATAATCTTATCAAATAGATCTAAGAGATGACTGGGAAGAAAACTTGCCTCGAGGCACAGTTAAAGTTTTAGGAATCTATCGCTGTATTATAATTAGTATATATATTACTTCAAAAAAAAAACTTTCAGAGGAGTTATTATTTTACTTTTTCCTTTATGTAAATTTTATGTAACTAACATTTAAATATTATAATTATGGAAGATTTTTATCTTGTTTAAACTATAATACAACGTTATAACTCTTTTAAAAAAATTAAAAATGCATAAGAATATTTAAAATCTTTTATATATTTTTTACTCCACACACTTAATTTCATTATTTAATTAGTTATTGGAGATCAAAATATGGCTCTGTGCTTTGGGGAAACTTTAGTAAACCAACTCCCCAATTTTTTTGATTTACTGATAACTGATG